GCGAGAGTCGGTTTACTCACTACGGTTTTAAAAAAGTAAAGTTTCGTGAGTATGTAGCAGGGGTGGAAATAGGGTATTATTTTCGGATTCGGCCGAACCCAGAACGCAGTAACTTTTTCATAAACAGACCATATATTCGCATTAGAAAATCTATTAAATTTCTATTAATATATAATTGTGAAGCTTGGTGTGCTTGTGGCTGCCCTTCTTTTTATTTTTCCTAAGCCGAGGGTCTTCCGGAAACCCCTCTCAGCCTTGAAGGTAGGGTAAGGTCTACGTACATACTACCCTCTCTAGATCCCACTTTTGCGATTATACTGGGTCTGTTATTGTTGTTGTATATAATTGTGAAGCCAGTAACTAAGACATGTCATGGGTTCGACGTCAAGTTCCGGACCTACAAACTTCAAATCATAGCTCCGCTTCTAATATGTAGGATACCTAAGTCGTAATAGGCAGAGTTATCGGTACTCAAATTGGTGAGAAGTAACAAATACACGGTTGGATAAACTAAGGTGCGATAGAAGCTCATCTAGATAAAAAAAAAAGTAACAAAAAGAAAAAAAACATGAATATGTAGGGTACAAGTGATTCTCATAATTGATTGTGAGCTGGTTTTTTTTATTCTTGACTTGATATAAACAAGAATTTTCTGATCTAAGGGACCAAGGAGCAATGTGTTTCTTGTGATCTAAAAGTCTAATTTACGTACAGAATTGTAAAAGTTTGACAAAAAGAAATACTTAAATACTCTCCCGTTCCAATTTATGTGAACCTGTTTGACTGGGCATGGAATTTAAGAAAAAATGAAGACTTTTTGAATTTGTGGTCCTAAACAAGTCAAAAAGGGGTCCAGATTATTTGTGTGGTTATAAAAGCTTCTCATTAAGGGTAGAATTGTAAGTTTAAGCTAAATTGTTTCCAAATTTAGAAAGGGATCATTTTTTTTGGAACGGACCAAAAAGGAAATAGGTTGAAGTAAACTAGAACTGATGGAGTAATTGCTATACAAGGAAACATTAAGCTCCCAGGTTCGAGGGCACATTCCTTTTTATTTTTAATTAAAACAACCTTTTTGTTTTCTCAATCTAATAGTAGAAGCCACTAGAAGTGAAAGGAAATATGAGAAGGGTGCTAGTGTATGTGGGGTAGTTCTGAATTAAATATTCCTCTTTTAGAAAAAGACATGCCTTCGTCTTTTAATAAATTGGAGGATAACTTTACACTGAAGAACCCAAAAACGTTAATTGTGTCTTCAACCTTTTCTCCCTTTTTTGTTCTTTTTTAAATGGTATACTACATGTGTTCTGGCCTCTGGGATCTTTATACTAATAGTTGATCAAATTTATTATTTACTTTTTTTAATTATTATATATCGATTTTATACTAATTATACATAATAATACATATTATATATATATGAATTATACATATATTATATATCTATATTATCTTTTAGGTTAATTCTTTTTTCTTTCTTTTTTTTCACCTTTGAGAGTAGGTTAAAGGATATATTTTTTTAGTTATCTTCAAGGATTTACTGATGCTTTTATGCCTTACGTGTTGAAAGGGTGGGTTTCACATTCTGTGGAAAATGAAGTCTCAAAATCAGTGTAGAGGCCCACTTGTGGGAGAAAAAAGATAGAGAAATTTTCAAAAACGACTATATTTTAGTGATTATTAGCTTGCTGTAGCTATTATTTATTAAATTATTTCTTATAGTTATGTTTACAGTTGTTACAGACTGTATTCGATGTATTTTTGCTACTGTATGAATACAGTAGCAAAACTCGGCGAAAAACAGGGGAGTCCAGCTAAGCTGAGAATGTATTCGACTGTATTCGCGAGCTGTATTCGTGATACAGTAACGGAATTTGCGAAAAAAAGGTCTTCAACTGCTTAAAAACGGTAAGTGAATCAATTAACGTGATAGACTCCTAATATAACTCAACAAACTCAATTATAACACACAAAATTTGAATTTCCAGTTATAGAAAAGATTCTCAACCGAAAAACACCCCAAAAACAGAGAATATTCAGAGATTCAATCCATCCTTTCTTTTTTTAGTGGTATCTTTACTAAAATATTTTTTAGTGGTATCTTTACAAATAGATTTATATATTAAGATTATATAATTACATTGAATACAGTTAAATACATAAAAATACATTGAATACATGAAGTATAGCAGGTCATCTATAGTGCGAAAACATATGAATACATACTGCAGATACATTTGAATACATATATATATCTGAATACATATATTATATCAATTAAAAAAATATATGAATAAATTCATGGAATACAGCGAGACAGTGAATACAATGAAATACATGGAATATAGTGAGATACAGTAAAATACAATATAAAAAAAAAGACAGTGAATACAATGAATTACATTGAATACAGCGAGACACATTGAAATACAATGGGGAAAAAAAAGGTAACAGACTCTTCAAGGCAAAGCAACTACTTCTTTTTTTTTCTTTTGCCATTTTATTTTTGCATTCCTTCACCTTGTCGAAATCTTCTTCTTATAATCTCGTAGAATGAATTTGAATTAGTTGGACCGTAAATTTTGAATAACGAGTAGTTAAGAAAAAAATCACTTCTCTACTTTCCATTCAAAATGGCGTGAAAGATGTTGAATCTTAGAGTTTTTCAACTTCAACTATTTTAGATCGTCACGTTTGGAAACCAAATGGTTTTCTAATGTAATCATCACTTCAGAAAAAGAAGAAGGTATCGCCGACCGGAGGAGGGGGTTAGGGGTGACACAACAAGGAAGGGGGAAGTGGTCGCCGGCCTGATCTGTCGTTGGCGGAACACAGCCCCTGTTAGGATTTCTAAAAGCAGGGGAAGAAAAAATTGGGGGGAAAGAGGAGGAGAGAGGGAAGAGAGAGGGAGAGAGAAAAATAATACACAGCGTATTTAATGGCTTAAAGGTAGGAAGTGGCCATAAATAGATATTTTGCTATAAAAATTAAAAGGTAGCTATAAGAGATAATTTTTTAAAGGGTATTTATTAATAATAAATAAGATACTAACATTTGCTATAGGAGGTAAAATTTCCAAAAAAGAAAAGATCTCCTATGTTTTTAAAGTATTACTACATTTTAGGTAAATGAAATTAAAAAAATTTATCAATGTTTCTCATAATAAATGTTTCAAATTATTTATAACTTCAATCAATGATGATTGTAAAGTAAATCTTCACATGTCCTTTTTTTATTGGTGCTCAAAAGCACTTTCCGGAAAGAATGGTCAAACATATATTTTTTTTTCTACTATGCAAAAGTACTTTTTTTTTTTTAAAAAACTTCATATGACATAAAATACTTTTCAAACTAAACAGACTTAAGATGTTGGTCAAACATGACCTATATTGAACTTAAAAATAGAGCCAACATTCGAGGCAACATGTTGGGAACATATTGGGTTTGTTATTGTTGTTGTTATTCGAGGCAGAAGGATAATCCTTTTTTACCTATCCTGAGATGAAGGCATATGTTCTCCAGTAAGCTCCAAAAATTATTATAGTATATAGTTATAGACTTAAAAAATGGAAAAATAATTTTTTTCTGTGTGCATAAAATACATAAATTGAAGAATGTTATTTTTATCTTCTGTCTTTTTATTCGTCTTTTAAAGAAAAATTAACAAACAGCAAATTAAAATGGATTATAATGTGACTACTCTAACAAGACTCAAATTAGAAAAAGCAAATAAATGTAAATGAAATAAAGCGACTCTTAATTAAAAATCTAAAGATATTTAATATATATATATATATATATATATATAAGTAGTTACTATCTGTTAGGTAGAGTATTAGAGCCCGTTTGACCAAGCTGTCAAAAACTACTTATTTTAAAAAGCGCTTTTATTCAAAAGTGCTTTATGAAAAAAGTACTTTTGCAAAATAAGTAGTTTGTGTTTGGCCGATTTGTTTGAGTAGTGCTTTTTGCAAGCTCATCATGTTTGGCCAATCTCTTAAAAAAGCACTTTGAAGTATCAAATTACGAAAAAGGGCAGTAAAGGTTCAGTTTGCGATTAGTATTATTTAGAAAAGAAAATAAATTTAAATATTTATTAGAAAAGAATTCAATTAAAATATTAAACGTAAAGTAAAAATATAAATTAAAACTTCTAATTAATATAAAATATAGTTATTCCAAAGCAACAATATTGAGTGGTTGGTATTACTTATTATTTACATGATAATTTAAATATGTCAAAATACATCATTCAATATAAATTTAAAATCTACTTTTAAGAATAAGAGAAAGAGAATAAAAATTTGATTAAAATAAAAAAGAGAATAAATGTATAGCAGAAAAAAAAGGAAAAGGAAAAGAAAAAAAAAATTAAATTAATGAGGGATAATTTGAAAAATATAAATTTATTGTCAGGTTATTTTTGTCTCGAATAAATTAACTTTTTGCTTCAGCTTCTACTTTTTGGAAGAAGCTAGAATTTGTAGCTTTTCCTCAGAAGCAGAAAAACTGCTTCTGTTGCTGCTAAGAAGTACTTTTTCATTTTGGCCAAACACTTTAAATTTTTCAAAGAGTACTTTTTGGCTAAAAAAAGTACTTTTGGCCTCCTAAAAGCATGACCAAACGGGCTCTTATACGCAAATAGCTGGCCCATAACCAAAAACAAACTTTACTCGTTGTTTTTGGGATATTATTATTTTTAGCCCGCGCCAGAAAGTATTTACATTTTGTAGTCGAAAAAGTATATAAAATTTGTATAACTTTCGTATATATATAAAAAAAAATATACAAAAGATATATATTTCTTTTGCTATTATTCATTTTCCATTGTTTTTTACAAAATTTATCCAATATAATCGTTGTATAATCAATGCATATATTAACACATATTACACACTTGTTATACATCACGCCGGCTACAAGGTTACAACTTACAACTAGGCGGGTGTAAGTATTTTTTTCGTGTTTATTAAGAGAAATTACACATATAAAAAAGAAGAAGAGAGAAATTACAACGTAGTATATTAATGTTCACAGTGAACCAACCCTATTATACATGAGGCCAAAACTCATTTCTTGTTAATTTAAGTACGAACACAAAAGCACAACTTAATCAGCAAAACCATCCTTGAGATATATCAACTTTTCATATCATTTTAAAACAAAAGTTGAGAGTGGATTCATATAATTGTGAACATCTAAAAGGTGGCATTATACCATTTTCCTCCCTCATATATGTACATAAAGCAGGAATCAGTCTCCATACAAGTTATGCTGCCAAAAGTTTCTGAATATCCTTCTGCAACAGATTAAAACACATTACTCCATTTTGCAACAACAAAACCAGCAGAATCTATGAATGCAGTTGGTTAAAAAATTAGAAACAGCCATGTGATGTCCGAGCTAAGTTGCACGAACCTCAGATTATTTTACTAGGTACCTGCTACTTCCCACCAGCACAAATACCGGATAACTCTGCTCAACATGGCTTTTATAGATGGAAACTTACCTAATATTTTCTGCCCATCTAAACATCTAAGGGGTCATTTGGTTGGGAAACAAGTTATCTCGGGATTATCCTAGAATTGTTATCCAATCCCACCCTTCAATAGGGATAAAAATAACACTACAATCCCGGAATTAGTTATACCGCGATTTTATCCCAACCAAACGTAGCATAAACTCATCTCAAATTTAGTCCCGGGATTAATTATCCCTTATTGCTCGTACCAACAACCCCTAAAAGTGCAATCAACAAGTGTCGTGTGTTTAATGACAAACTCTGAAAGCAGTTTCATGTCAGTTTTCCTTTGTGAATCAGGGATTCCCAGAAGCTAGGTAGTTACTGCAACTTCATTCAGTCAAGTTGTAAGTGCACTCATACTGGAGTATTTAGATACAAACTCACACGCCGTGGCTTATGATCACTTACCTGGCTACTTACAGGTGAGATTAGTTTCTAGTTAAGATTCTGGGGCAGAGTTCTAACGCGCACTAGGTTAAGTACAGATACTTGTAGGAAAACATCTACTGAAGTGAACCTTCCTTTGAAGCCACATTTATAAATTTTTTGGGGTTGATATAGTTCGAAAGTCCATTTTGTTTACAAAGTTAAAAACATGAATTTATTCGATACTAAAATATTCTATCTCGCTTTCCCTTTCTTGTATTATTTTCTCCCGCTCCCTTATTCTTCTCTCACCTCCTTTCTCTTTTTCAGTCTTCTCTCATCTTGGTGCTACATCAATTTCGTACCAAGTGAGGGATCCGATTTTATGCTGATTTGCTATGGTGGTCGCCCATCGACGAAAATGACGACACCCCCTCCCCCTTTCTTTTTTTAAGGCTTTGCACAAGTAATTCTCCAATGGCAGGTTAACTACGGCATTATGTTAATTTGTTAGAATTGAGTTCTTTTTACCAGAGAAGATTGACGTAGAGCATGAAGATATTATACACTATCCTGTTTTTTATATTACTTTCATCTATATTTATCTTTCACCTTGAAATGAAGTTTTATCCATTAGTTAGAGATGATCTCATCTACTAATTAGGAATAAGGTTATAAATTGTCTTATCTTCTTTAAGTTGATAGTAGATTCTCAGTGTTATCAAAGGCGAAAAGCGCAAAAAAACTCTAAAGTCCATTAGGCCTTTAAGCGCAAATAAAGCGTGGGCTTTAACGAAGAAAGACGCAAATGGAGAAAGACTACAAATATGTATGTGTAGTCCAAGACTAATATCAATAAGCATGAATACCAAATATAAGGACAAAGAAATTGAAGAAAATTTACGATAAAGTAAAATATCAATGGCTTAGTGTCGTCTCTTTAGGATTATTGGCAAGAAAAATATGCCTTCTTGATGACAACACTGAAGCGCTCGCTAAGCGAGGCGAAGCGCTCAACATGTTTTGAACCTCGCTTTATGGCTGAAGCGCACTTTAAGAGCTCCTTTGATAACACTTCATTCTCTTAATCTTTTTGCTAGGGATAAAGTTCCAATTGTTCCTAGAGCTTTGAGTTGTTCTACACTCCCTATCCTGTAACAGAGCTCCAGCGAATTTTGTTGGAGAAACTTTAATAACAGTTCATATTAATAAATTGATTTGACATCACAAGGGGTCTTTATCTCCTTTCTCATGAGTTCTCTTTCTCCTAGCTTCCCTGCCAAATTCTCTTCCTCTTTTTTTATTTTTTGGGAAAAGTAAAATCACGTTCTCTCTTAGTCTTCTCCCTTCCTCTAATTCTCTCTGTATTTAAGTCTCTTTTTCTTCTCTATCTCATTCTCCTCTGTTCTTCTCCTACTCTACTCTTTGTCATTTCTTCTCTGTACATTGTCTTTTCTCCCTTTCTTTATGTTACCTCAATTTGGTATCAGAACTAATGTTTGAATACATTACAACGCTTCTAGCACCCAATTAATTATAAAATACTCACCAACACACCTGCTGCAAGGAACCCAATCTACGGCATTCAACAAATGTTTCTTCATTATTCAAGTCGAAGACGCAATAAGACAGCTATATCTCTTAGTTTTATTAACTTTGAAAGTTGGAAACTGTAATTATGGTTTTGTGGAACACAACTGCAAATGAAAATTCGATCTACCCCAAGTTAATGGCCAACAACAAATCTCATTCAGTGAAAAGATTGTCACATGCTACTATGGGATAAACAAGACGAGTTATGTTCCATAAGTCCACATTTTCTTACGCTACACCAACAGTCTCATTTGTTGAGGTTGAAATTTCACAAGGAGAAAGTTCTAGATAAAAGATTGCAGTAACATTATTTTTCTTAGATAAATGCAAACGACTGAAGATGTTACACATATACCTAGGCTGGATGCTTTCGGAGAATGATATGATAGATGAGGATGGTAACGTCGAATCAAATAGGATGGTTGAAACGGAGAAGTGCTAAGGTGGTATTATGTGATACAAGATACCTATGAAAGTGAAAGGCAAGTTGTACAAAACGGCTGTAAGACCATCAATGATATAGAGTTAATGTTGGGCATTTTACTCAACATATCCACAAGATAGTGTTGCAGAAATGCAAATGTAAGATGGATATCCAGTCATATGAGATTAGATAATATTAAAAAGGACCACATCTGAGAAGGTGCAAGTAGCACACACAGAGAACAAAGAGGGAGATTGCTTGGTATGGTTTGGTCATGTCCTACGTGTTCTCCAGATGCGCCGGTCAGTAGGTGTGGAACGATGCTAAGTGAATGTGTTAAAAAGGGATGAGATAGACCTAAAAATCACACGGAACGAAGTTGTCTCGAAAACTCTACTTGGAATCCATGTAGACCTAGACCTAGCGAGAAATAGGGCACAATGGAAGATCTATATAGGAGATACCAATTACTTAGGATTAAGTTTTAGCAAGGTAGTACGTTTACTATAAGTCTAATGTTTGCTTAGGAGTCTACTATTCTTGTTTGAGATTTATATGCCGATAGAAATTTAGAGACTCTTAGTGTAGGAAAAACTAATCTATAAATGTAGAGACTCTTAGTGTAGGAAAAACTAATCTATCTATCTATTTATATATAATTCTGGTCTTAGAAGATTTGATGTGGCAGGTAAAAATGTACTAAATCAGCACAAGGTAGTGCAATCCATTTTACTTACCCATTCGATGGGTTGAGGGAAACTTTGCATATCCGTAACATATAAAAGATATTACTTTCTATTCGGTGAGGATTCATATAGTCGACCCCTACTTGTTTGCGACTGAAGAATAGTAGTAGTCTAAGTTGCTCGGACTCGGGTGCGGGTATCCGATACGGGGACGGATCTGAGTATCGCATTCGGCAAAATCTAAATTTTAAGATTCGGGGGTGCGGATCCGGATATGGATACGGGTGCGGAGATTCGACTAATAAAAAATAGAGCTACAAAAATATTGTAAATTTTGAAAGATATTCTGCGAAAAACTTACATGAATATTGTAAAATTCAATCTTTCATTCTCCAAGATGGACATTATTCCTTCATTGTCCTAAATCAGTTTTATTTTTGATTTTCAGAAATCAAAATCTCAATTTTTTTCCCAAATTTGTCGATGGACTCTGGTCAAAGTGTCCGAAGTTATTTGACCGAATCCAGGACGTATCCCGTATCCCGTCCCCGTCCCCGTCCCCGTCCCCGTCCCCGTATCGGGACAGGGACGGCACCAAAATCGAAGAGTCCGCGCAACTTAGGTAGTAGTTATTGTTATGATAACATATAAAAAATGGTAAAGTTTTCTCATTGAAAATACTTCCTAAGCAAACGTATTAGAATATTAAATAACTTAGACCGGTAATACAGTACTCCTTGCCTCACTTGCCTCATTGCTAGTCTTATTTTCAGTTTTATTTCACTCTTATATATATATATATATATATATATATATATATATATTTTACACTTATATCAATTGGGAAGAGAATGTTTTGGATCTCTATTCAAAACTGTCCAAAATGGGCAATGACCAAATTGTTTCAGATACAAAAACAAAAATTTCTTCAAACTACTGAATAAATCCCAAATAGAGGTAAACCTTTACCTTATCAAAAAAAAAATCCCAAATACACGTAACGTGGTTATAATAATTCGCGCATTGCTCCTAAGGTAAGACTTGAAGCACATTTAGTGCTTGCATCGTAACTAAGCCAATCATGACCATACTTAACCATCAATGTCAGACTAGGTGCTTAACATATAGTTCCCAAATCTCAAAGAGGATGAATTATATAGGAGAATTTCGGTTTACCACTAGGAAGAAGACTGACCCCTTTTCTCTCTTGTGATCCTAATTCCTAAAAAATTTCATTTCCAAATAAGATCCTATGAAAAAGGGAAGTAAGAGAGATCCACCACTTAGCATGATAAAGTTTATTATCATTAGCACAAGCCTATGATCACTAGACCAGGAAATGCAATCTTTTGACTTAGAAGCTCTTAATGGGGATCAGTAGCGTCTTCCTCGGTCGGTAGGTTGGCATGAATGGAGCTTCCAGGAGTTAGTGCATTGGATTCTTGGGCAACTGCATCTAGTAGAGCTGACTGAAGACCAAAGCAATCTCCTTTCTAGTCTAGTCTAGGCTACACCAAAAAAACCGGGCCGAACTTCTAAACCGCCCGCTTCCATAGAACAATATCGTGGCAACATAGACCAAAGTGGTCATACTGGATGCAAGCTGTGCATTGGATTCCTGGGCAACTACATCTAGTAGAGCTGACTGAAGACCAAAGCAATCTCCTTTCTAGTCTAGTCTAGGCTACACCAAAAAAACCGGCCCGAACTTCTAAACCGCCCGCTTCCATAGAACAATATCGTGGCAACATAGACCAAAGTGGTCATACTGGATGCAAGCTGTGCATTGGATTCCTAGGCAACTGCATCTAGTAGAGCTGACTGAAGACCAAAGCAATCTCCTTTCTAGTCTAGTCTAGGCTACACCAGAAAAACCGGGCCGAATTCTAAACCGCCTGTTTCCATAGAACAATATCGTGGCAACATAGACCAAAGTGGTCATACTGGATGCAAGCTGAGGTTGCTGAATCATGTGGCTCTTTTACACAAAATTACCAGATTTATCAAAGTCTATTCTAATTCTTCTTTTTCCTTTTAATATCCATCTACTCTTTCCCTCGAGTAATAAAATGAACTATGAGTTAGTGCGAGACAAATTACATCACACCGCTGTGTGAAATAGCTAATAATTAGCAATTTTTTTGTTTTTTTGATGACCGAGAAATCCGTCTGGGGCCGATCCTTTGGACCAACCGCAGCCTTCGAAACTCGGTGGATAATGGGCCCGCCCCTCTACCCTTCTCCACTTAAATACCAGGCTTTGCTTTGCATGGTGTGGAGACTTGAACCTGTGACCTAAGACACAAATCCACCACCCTTTGCCACTTGAGCTAGGCCCTGGGGCAATAATTAGCAAACTTTAAACCAATTAATATGAAGCTTTCATGATTCCAAACACTGTATATATACATCATACAATGTAAAAGGATGAGTACCTCTATTTGGATAGGTGACGTTGTTGGTGGATACCTCTCAACAACTTTACCATTTTTGTCCACAAGAAACTTCTCAAAATTCCACTTAACCAGATCACCTAAAAATCCTCCTGCACTTGATTTTAGGAACTGGTAAACTGGTGCCGTGTTAGGGCCGTTCACGTCGACCTGTTTCATATCATTTTTAGTCCTTTGTTTATACCAGTATGGCACCCCCTAAACTTTATGTGCAGGGAAAGTTAACGCAAACCTTGTCAAATATTGGGAATTCAGCTTTAAACCGAGTGCAAGCAAACTGTTTAATCTCTGGATTAGATCCTGGCTCTTGAGCCCCAAATTGATTACATGGAAAAGCAAGAATCTCAAGTCCTGCAAGGAATGTGATCAACTAAGTTGGAAAGATCTGCACACGTTTACACTATATGCTTTTAACAAGACACTGAACAGTGAAAATAAAATGTTGACATTGAAATTGTTAAAACAGTACATATTCAATAGTTATGCAATAAAAGAAATAATGAAAAAAAATTTAATATGTATTTTAAGCCTGTGGTGCAATGAAAATATAACATGGATGTGGTAATAACATGCCTCATTAATCATTAGGCAGGGTACAAGAGAGGCGTCGGATGTCTTTTTGGGTGACCTAAGTAAACAAATTTGCATGACCAATGAGATAGGAGTGAATAGGAGTTCTTGCAGTTTCTGCTCTTGGGAAATGGAAAACTACAGAATTTTTCAAAGAAGATTAGACTGTTGCCGCACAATACTACCTCACAGTATAGCCATTGTAAAACGTACAATTTCTTGACTTCTATTGACTTGCTCATATACCTGAAAATGTAGATGCTATAGCTCAATGAAGATATGCACCTCTTATTCCATAAATGTTTACACCCGGATTAGTAATTATTTGTTTAATAGTAATTATGAAACATCACTGTTGCTCAAGCAGACTAAGGGGCATAGACCATCAACTCAAGAGAGCATCTTAAATAAGAGAAGTTGAGATGATAAGACTCCTTTTGTCCCCCAATATATCACCGCGACGAACTCTATGATCAAGCCATTCAAGTTTCATTTAGTTGTCATGCAAATGTTAGTACTATTAGCTTAGACCTTTAATATGAGTAAACTGTAACATTATGTTTTCCCTTGTACTGTATCTGTTATACATTAAGGCACTTCATGAGCAGTGGCGGAACCAGAATTTTACTAAGCATGTCAAAATATAAAAAATTGGGCACATGAAGAAGCCAAGGGTTTTCAACATTGAGTATATATACATAATTTTTTTATCTAACTAGACGGTATAATTTCCCAGCGAATTGACAACCCTTTCTTAAAGGTGGCTCCGCCAACTGTTCATGAGGAACTAAAAGCAGCACCACGAATTATACATGTTCAAGAGAAGTACTCTCATTTCTACAGAGATTCAACATATTTAATAGACACACAAAATTAAAAAAATTAAAAAAAAATTTAAAAAAAAAAAAAAGGTTAACCGGAAAAGGGGTGGGAGAGAAAAAAGAAGGCATGCCAATTTCAATTCTTAAGCATGTAGGTTACCTTTAGTTTTATACTTCTCATACACCTGAGAGAGCTCTGTGTAATTTGATGTCGTCAAGCCACTGAATCAAAAATCAATTCTCCAGTCAGATCACTATATTACTGTAAAATTATCCTGAATCTTAAACATTTAGGTAGAAATTGAGGAGAGAGAGTACCATCTGGAAGCAACATTGACAATTAGAAGAACCTTTCCCTTAAATTTGCTAAGTGGGACATCTTTCCCATCAATATCCTGCATCAAAACATAAACATCAACAAGGAGCATACTTATCAATCTTCGGCATAGCAAAATCCAAAATAAAGCAACAGGTACAATCTTATCTCTTTAGCTGAGGACATATTTTTGCTAGCATCTCTTTCAGCACAAAAAAAAAAGAAAAAAAAAAGAAAAACTATTAAGTGATATCAAGATGTATTAAGGATGTTTCGTGATATCGTTATAGTAGGGATTTGAATGGATAAACGAAGAAACCGAGAAATCTTTTATTCCTTTCGTGATCATAAGTTACGTCAAGAATTATGAATTTATTTAGACAATCAACCATATCGATAATCAATCATGTCATATTTTTTATTGAAGATCAATCTAGTTATAGTAGAATCCATAACCGCGGGGTAACAATTTACGGGATTATTAATTTTTGAAAGCTAAAAGTCTGTTATTAGTACACCAAGTTGGTGTTCATTTTACACAGAGCATACTGTGGAAAAATACATCATGCTTCTGATGTTGCCATTAGGTAATTAGAACAAGCGAAAGAAATCATCCTTCAGACTTCAGAGTATTAGTATTGCACCATACACTCGCCCAAAATCATATTTTACTTCCATTTAACAGTGCACTTGATGAATGTTACCTCCTTTGTGTACCAATCATACTATTTGATACCACATTTTTCCGTAACCACCTTCCTCCACATGGCACCCTTTACTCTAGCATATATACATAGCATTTTTTATTGGTGCCAGTCCAAATGACCAAGCCGCTAGCCTCAAGTGAGGCAGTAACTCTTTCCTAACAGATGTGGTGGAAATCTTTAACTCAATTTGCTCCATCCGACAGAAAAACCCTCATTAAATGCTTCAGTGTTTTGTAAAATTGCTGTTGGGATAGAAAACAAGGGGATAAATACATGGGATACTTGACAGGCTGCGTAATTCAAGTGCTCACCCTCCTTTAGAAAAATATTATCTAGTCCACCCCACCAACCTTTTTTTCAAATTTATAGTGTAACATATGGGTTCAAGGGAATCCAATAGCTTTTGCCTAGACCCGGTATATGTATTAAAACTCCACTATGATCCTACTTATTATTGTATATTAACTTGAAGTTGTTGTAGAAACCCATAAACTTCAAATCGTACTAAGCATATGCCCTCTGTACATGAGTATATGTAAAGCTTATACATTTACCAATTACAGGATGAGTAGGCACTAGACAGGGTTTATTTTTCTCAACTATGAAAATTCACACTATCAAGTAAACGTAACCACCAATATAATCACCTTAAATAGGACAAAATGGAATCTTCTAAACCGCATTGGAACAGTATACATACTTAAAATATCATGGTTATCAAAGATAAATTCTAATAACAACTGAAACTCTATAATAAATACTACATGTTTCTGAGTCTTAACAGAAAAAAAATACTCCTTCTAAGATGATTTATAGCTACAGGAACGTTTATGACTTATTTTAGACCAGGAGTTTCAAATAATTTTTCTCTCTTAAACTCCGTGCTCAGTCAAACAACATCACACAAAATGGGACGGAGGGAGTACATATTTCTTACTCTAAGGGGTCGTTTGGTTGGGAAACAAGTTATTCCACTATTAATTATCCCGGTATTAGTTATCTCGGGATTGTTATTCCACCCTAATCCCGGGATTAGTTATACCACGATTTTATCCCAACCAAACATAGGATAAACTCATCTCAAATTTAATCTCGAGATTAATTAACCCTTATTCCTCGTACCAAACGAGCTTAGGGAAAAAAAAATTACTCCCTCTGTTCTAATTTATATGGCATAATCTCCTTTTTAGTCTATCTAAAAAGAAAGATATATTTCTATACTTTAAAAAATTTTACTATAAAATTTCTATTTACCTTAAAGAGATTTTATAGCCACAAAAATATCTATGGCTTGTCTTAGCCCAAAGTTTCAAAAGTTGATCTTCCTTTTTTAAACTATGTGATGGTGGGTGGAGCTAGAATGTGTCTACAAGTTCGGCCAAACCCAATAGTTTTGGTTCAAACCTTGTATTTGTCTTAAAAATAACATTAAGTATGTACAAATCATTAATTTTGAACCCAGTAACTTAAAAGAATTAGAATTTTGAAACCAGAAACTTAAAATTCTGGCTCCACCTGTGATGGGTCGGAGGGAGTAACATATTTTGTATAGTTTTCGCTAGCGTTTGGCCATAGATTCCAAATTTGTTTAGAAAAATCTGATTCGGTTGAAGTTTGGTTCGAAGATGAAAATGTGTTTGGACATAGATTTCAAAACATATTTCAAAAAAATATGAAACGTGACTTATACCCACGAGTTCTAAAAACTATCGCAAATACCCAACAGTACATTCATCAATAACATTCGTTATCTTTATCTCAAACCATAATTCTGAACATAAATAAATTTGGTACAAAATTATCACTTTTATAATGAACAACATAATACACTACCAGGTGACCAAGAAGACGAAGCAGCATTGTTATAAAATAATAAATAGTGGGCTCTTTTATAAAAAGACAAAAGCTTGGGGCAATTTCTAAAAAAATGTAATTGTAACATTTTGGGCCAAAACTAACTCTTGAGCTGGTTTTGTTATTTGGGAATTTGTCAAAATATGAATAAATTTTATGAACAAACATGTATTTGCCACAAAAAAAAAAAAAAAAAAAAAAATCTATGGCCAAGAAATTGAATTCACATGAGAGAATATAATACCTTAACATTGAAGTCATGAATAGTTTTCTCAGTAGCAGCTCTAGCAGAGATTGTGCCCATAACCTTGGACTTTAATGAAGACCCAGAAAAATTAGAGATTGGTAAATTGAAACCATACTGTAAAAATGAAGATTTAGTAGAGCTTAAAGTGGGTTTATACGAAGAAGAAAAAAGAGAGGATTTACAGTTAAGGTTCAGTTTGGCTTGAGAAAAAACAGGACATATTGGTGAAAATACTGCAAAGGAAGCCATTTGGGTGTGGATTTCAGATTTCCAAAAACCTCAAATGAAAGTGAGAAGTTTGAAGAATTTGTTATTTTGATTTTTTTAACTAATTTCTTAGGAGTGGAATGTAATTATCCACGTGGTTGTTTCATTGCCTTTTGGTTCGATTTTTTTTTCTTTTTTTGCTTTTCAATTATTCAAACTATTTACCCAATTTTCTTTGAGAGTCAATTTGACCAATTTTTTATATAAAATTAATCCATAATTTTATAATTTGAAATGACGGATTAGAGATTTGACCATTATGTATTTGCGTTTGGAATTTATCATAAATTATTTGATTAATTGAATTTAAAATTAATTATATATACTTTTTTGGTGAATTTTTAATATATATACGAAGTTCAAGGCGCGATTGAATTCGAGTGAACACATACATTATATAAGCTAGATCAATCATGAACAGAGGAGATTTGACTATTAGCATGTTTTGCTGTTAAAATCATCTTATTTTTTAGAAATATTTTTTTAAAAAATATTTTTCGAAAAAGTGCTTATTTAGAACAACAGTTTGTATTTGGCTAATCAATTTGAAAAAAAAATTGAGCAACAATTTATGTTTGACCAAGCTTTTTAAAAAGTATTTTAAATATCAAATTACGAATAAGGACAAGAAGAGATTTACTTAGTAGTTAATATTTTATAAGTAGATCAATAATTACAAATATTTATTATTAAGAATAATAATTATATTTATTTATTTTATTTAAGTAAAATATGAAAATAAAATTAAAAAGTACTTTATTCATTCAAGTTGATTTAAATATATTAACAAATTACTCAACAAATATGAAAGTTCATTCCAAAAGTCATTATATATCTATATCTATATATTAATATAAAACGGGGTCCTTAGAAAGTGATATGGCATCTGTTAGATGAGGAAATGTATTTATCTACTTTCTTAGAATTTTAGGGATTTTTCTTCTAATTTTCATACAATAAACTCAATTAATAAATCTAAAAGATTAATTCCATAAAATGCTGCATTAGTTTTCTTAAATTACACCTATTATGTCTCATATCTTTCGTCATTACTATGTATCGTTATATAGTGTATTTTTTCGGCAAGGGGGTTCGGATAAACCCCTTCCGTCCTCCTAAATTCTTTCTTGTAGACAATCGTGTTTAATTTAGAGGAATAGGAAACTGATAGAATTTTTTTTTGTGCTCAAATATCTCTAATTAGTTTGGTTATTTTCACCTTCCCTTACTTAAATTCCCTTATTCAAAGTCACTTATGAGGGGCTTTGAATCTTTAAATGCCGTTTGATATTTATCATCACCGAATTACACGGCTTTTGGGGATGCTAGAAGTATCCAATTCATTTTTTCTTTTGGAAGCTTGCTTATACACCATGGGAAAATGCTTAGTGTTCTTTTATTGATCATGCAGGTTAGTGGCAGCAAAATGGTTAAAAGAAAACGGTTAACGACCTATATTATTCACTAAAAAATTATTTGGATAATGAATTTTTTAAAAACGGGTCAAATATAGATAAGAATCATATTATCTGTAACAAACCAGTTCTTCAACACTTCTATTACTTCAACAGTGACAAGAAATTACAACTCAACTCAAGACTATTACAGGAATTAGAGATACTAAACTCAAGACTATTACAGGAATTAGAGATACAAAAGATAGAGAAGAACGGATGAGAAGCTCAGACTCGGAGCAAGGAGATGAGAGGATACAGACACTCAGAGAAAGAAATGGGAAGCAGACATTTTACTCAACAATATGCATACCTTTTTTACTAACCTAGTGGTATTTAACCATTTTCTAACCCGGGTCCCATACATAACTTGCTAAATTTACCAATATGTCCTCCAAGATGTTATTTTCATTCATAACAATACCCTCATCCTCAATAAGAACCTTGTCCTCAAGGTTCGAGTAGAACAACATTGATATCATAGCGATGATTATACTAAGACTTGAATGTGGATCAGGTGTTACAACAATAAGAAATGGGTCTGAAAAACGGCTATCAAACAGTTCCCATGAGAATAATCTTGCAAAGCACAATGCTGGAATACGCAACTCTTTTGATTCAGTTATTAGATATAGAGCAACAGTTGGGATCTCACAAGCTGACTCATGAAAAATCATATTGAACTTAACCCCATCTAGTCTGGCAACACATTGTTCCATCACCCATCCATTGACAACAGGATATAATATCTTCAGAGCCTTCTGGAAAGCATGGTCTCTTAGGATAATGGAAACTAAAACAAGGCTAGAAACAATATTTTTAGCAACTGTAGCTCTTTTGTCTAGACACCAATATTTACAAGCATGATGGTAAAGTTTAGAAAGGTGCCTGGCAGATATGTGCAGTTTGTAGACAGAACATTCATGCTCAGATATCACTGAATAAAGAACAATTTCAGGGGCAGCGTCTTTTCTCAACTCCTTCTTAAATTTGTCAAGCCTTGAATCCATTTCTCCAATCTTTTGCTCAAAACGTGCTTTATCTTCACCCTCACAGGTTTTCACGGTGTTGATTATTTCATCATCACTACCAACAAAATAGCGACTTCCACCACGTGCATCCACATTCCTTCCGTTGTTATTTAAGTAAAATTGATAGTTTGATGCCTTGTACCACCATTCATATTTAGCACATATACCATCTTGCCTGTTGTTTATAAATAAAAGAAACAAAAACTACCAACCTCGATTCTTTGCCCTATGTCGACCCAAATGCAGACCTGGAAGTCATTGAGCTCAACTCTTGACTGGTTGTTAATTGTTAGTATAAGTTTATCGCTTATATTCCATGTGCCAGTTCTTGCAAACTTTGTGTTGGTCTTTTGAAAATTTTGTTCGAACAACTTCGGCACCTTGTTTACTACCACTTCAGCACCCGGTTTCAACTCTATCAAGTCGGATGAAGGATTTTTTTCGGCACTATAATACCGATGAAAAGCTGGAGATGTAACTGTCAGTATCGAATTAAATTTCAGAATGTAGGAATGTAAATACCATTTTTGTCCGTGATTCCACACTTTACTCGTAAAGTTAGAAAATGCGAATGAGCAAAACTTGCCGGTCAATCCCATCAATAGTGAATCCTGCATGTACTCAGTATGACCGGTTAGTCTCAAGGTCTTAAAATTCTCGCCAAGAATAGTAACAGGTCCACCAAGGTTCACAATGAATAGATCCGCTCCGGGATCGAATGGGAATCGAGTCACGCAATCCTTAACTAGTAACAATTGATTGAAGGTTGAAACCAGTTTACCACCATGACCAATACGTACTTAAATGTTGTCCTGGTGTCTGCAAGCCGAAGGCTAATCAGTGAGCCTGTTTCATTCCATCCAGAAATTTTGTCGAACATTTGGCCATTGCTGAGTTTTGGACCTAGCGTTTCTGGATGAGCAAGACCATCGGGTACGGGAATTGTGTTGTTGTTCGGCTCGATTAAGTGTTCTAGCTCGAAAAAATTAGAAGCACTCTGTCCATAAGGCACTGCCAAGGGAATAGCAGAAAAGGCATTTGCACCTTCCTGCATCAACTTAGCTTTACAATCAAGATCCTCTGTTGCGTCTACTAAGTCTGCAGGCTTATTCAAGGATGCCAAATCTCGTTTTTCATCGACCATAGGGGAAATATAAATTTCTGAAATATCATCACGTGTTACAGCAGTCGTGGTCGACTGGGAACTGTCATCAAACACCTTGTCTTCGTCAATGGCAGACTTGTCCCCATCATAGAATAGAGCACCAGAAGCATGAAGTTTAAGGACTGGTAGATAAGGGATTGAACCCACTATGGAAGGAAAATGAATGCTGGAAGTTGTCGTTGTAGGTGTTTCGCCGAACACCTTAGGTGACTGATTACCGTTCAAATCAGCAGCAAAGTTTGAAATAGAGACGTGGGCATCTGTGCTCTTCCATGCTGCTTTAACAGAAGAAGTTTCATTCACTGCTTTGGTGAAAGCTCTAGTAGGCATTTCATCGAACACATGCTTCGCTTCTGAGTTTCCCACTTTGGGTGTAGATTCTAACCCATAGAAGTTGGACCTGAAGGGAGATACCTGGGCTTTAGACGAACACAAAGTAGCATAACTAACATCGTGAGGATAAGCCAGGGACGAATCAGCCACACTCCTATTGGAATCTACGAAGGTCTATTTTCGAAATCGCAAAAACAATTTCTCCTTGAAGTGGTTCCAATCGTAGAACTGTTTGTTACGATGTAGCCAATCAAACCAAGTGAGGGCCTCACCTTCAAGGTTGAAGTAAGGAAGAGGTAACCAGTCTTCCTCGGAAAATCAAGGTATTTGAAGTAACGCTCCGCCCAATAAACCCAGCTCTCTAGGTTACCATTGCTGAATTTATCTAGTATCACTGCTGCCATTGGAGTTCGAATCGATGAAAGCACCAATGTAACAAACCAGTTCTTCAACACTTCTGTTACTTCAACAGTGACAAGAAATTACAACTCAACTCAAGACTATTACAGGAATTAGAGATACTAAACTGAAATACAAAAGATAGAGAAGAAAGGATGAGAAGCTCAGACTCAGAGCAAGGAGATGAGAGGATACAGACACTCAGACAAAGAAATGGGAAGCAGACATTTTACTCAACAATATGCATACCTTTTTTACTAACCTAGTGGTATTTAACCATTTTCTAACCCGGGTCCCATACATAACTTGCTAAATTTACCAATATGTCCTCCGGGATGTTATTTTCATTCATAACATTATCCATTTAGAAAATGGATAACCAATGAGTTTAATTTTACATTTGTAAAGCATCAAATTGGAGGTTCCTCAAGTTTGGGAGACTAGGAATTCTCCCAAAAATGATCGTATTCAAGAAGTCATGGATAATATGGTTACCCATATTATCCGTCGGTTAGCCCGTTTTTTATTCGTATTAAATATGGATCGGGTCAGATAATTTATCCGTTTTTTCATTACCCGTTTCGACCCGAACCATATACGATCCGACCCGCCGTTTGCCACTCATATTATAGATAATAGTGCTTAACTTTGGAAAGTGTACTCTTTCTAATAAA